TCAGGGAGAGAAATTAATAATAATAATAATAATGATAATGATAATGATAGATACGCGTAAGAAAAAATATTTAAAAAACATCGAGAGAGAAAAAAATTTTTTTTTTTTTTTTTTCGCGTATTTTGTTGCAAAGACCGGCCGTTAAGTTATTATCTCCGAATGAATTTCGTTAACTCAAGGTTAACGACCTTGAGAACTACTAATCTGGTCTATGGACTTTTTTTTTTTTTTTTTTCTTCTGCTCCGATCTTCGCGTATTTATTACCATCAATTTTTACAAAATTTTTTCACTTTGAAAAATAAACTTTTTTTTTTTTTAAAATTTACCCACACAACCATCCATCCATTTTCCTCAAATCCTTTTTCCTATTTAACCTTTTTTAATAATTATTTCACGTGTGCCTCTTTTTGCGTGACGTCACTAAATAAATAAATAAACGAATAAGAATCTTCGTCGTTCGATTTTAAACTTTTTCTTTATTATTTACGTGCGTGTATGTATTTAAAAAAAAAAAAAAAAAAAAAAAAAACCTGGTAGGTCAACAATCGGTTGTTTGTTGTTGAGTTTGTTTGAATATGAAAAATATTATTAAAAAAAATAATTGGCCATAAAAAAACGCATTTGTGCCGTTTAGAGAAAGAAAAAGAGAGAGAGAAAAAAAGTTTCGTGAAAGATATCGTTATAAAAATGAATGAGAGACCAAATTAGAAACTTTTTTCATCTTTTTCATCATCTTCTTTCACTCAAACAGTTTATCATTTGAATTGTTAAGAGGTATTTTTAAGAAGCCATAATGATACTTAAAACTTTATCCTTCAACCTCTTTTAAATAAATGCAATTATTATTAGGCGGTTCCTTTTTTTTTTTCTAGAACATTATAATCACCTGTTTTTTTACGACTTAATTTTTATCATTTTATAACTCAAACGCGACCAAAAAAAAACGAAAAAAAGGTGAGAAATTGTTTTATTTACTTTCCCGACATTTTTTTTTTTTTAAACTATCAAAATTTTAAAATAAAACCTCCTCATCCTCCTCATCCTACCTATAATAAATTAAAAGAGAGAGAGAGAGAGAGAGAGAGAGAGAGAGAAATATGATAAGGAAAAAAAAATAAACCTTAAAAAAAAATTTTTTTTACGATTTTTACATGGGACGACGACTTTATTACATTATTTCTTCACGTGTGGCTCCCCTTCATGTTTCCTTTTCCCTACCCCCCCCTCTCTCTCTCTCACGCATGCAGCACACGCAGACAAACATAGACAACAAACGCAAACACAAACAACACAGAAACGTTTACATTTGTAAAAGAAATAAAAATAATAGAATTTATGTTTTTAATACGACAAAATAAACGTCGTAGTCGCGTTTTTAATTTTTCCAATCTACCATCGTCATAGTTATCATCATCATCATCATCATCATCATCATCATCGCCACTACCTCCCTCCTATCATATTTGTATTCCTTGTCCGTATATGTTAATAGGAATGATATTTTCACACGTTCAAAAAATCATTTCATCACGATTATTTAAAATAAAAACGTTAATGAAGACACGATCGGGTCGGAGGTCACGGTTCTTAAAAAACAATAAAACATATACATATACATATTTCTATCTCTCTCTCTCTCTCTCTCCCTCTCTCTCTCCCTCTCTCTTTCTCTTTTGTTTAACCTTGAAGAGCTTTAAGTCAAGGCGTTCAACTACCAAAACGGTTTCTAATTAAAAAAAAAACTTGGAAGGCAAATAAAAAAAAAAAAAAAATTTTCCGTAACTCGAAAAATGAAGACGTCACGTCGTGATTATGGATTTTTTGTTTTCACCCCCCTTCCCCCTCCCCCCAACACTAAAGGTTCGAGTTTCATGGGGGCTATAAATTACCCGAGAGGTTTTTAAAGGGGGGGGGGAAAAAACCGAAGAAATAAGGGGAGAAATAAAATAATTTTTTTTTTTTTTTAAAGAGCGAGACTCGATTAACGATGATGACGACATTTAGAGGCTTTTCGGGTAAAACTTTGATTGAGGCTACCAGAACGAACCGTTGCGTACCTTTTTTTCCTTATTATTATTATTATTATTATTATTTTCGGTTTATCGATAACTGCATCTGCAATTTTCCATCTCCCATTACACGTTCTAGGTACTCTCGTCGTACAATATTATATTATACAAAGATGGGTATCGTAAGGAAAAGATAATATTATATCTATTCGGAGCGGATTTTAAAACTTGACCTTTTGTACGGTTTTACTCTATGACGGTTACCTTCAATACCAACATTGCTAATAATAATAATTCAACGGGGGGATGGGAAAGCGGGGGGGGGGAAGCGGGAAGGAGAAAAAGAACAAAAATTACGCATTTAAAATTTACATTAAACCAGTCCAAAATAAGAAAATAAGAAAAATCAGATAAATTTTCCATTTCGGTACGGTTGAAAAAAAAAAAAACTTTACAAAGCTTTAAAAGCAGCCGACAAATCTAAATAATAATAATAATAATAATAATAATAAAGATGAAATCAGAGACAAGTCAAACATGGTCGAAAATGAGGGTGAGGAAATAATAAGTTCAACCGACGTGCGTATATCAAATTATAAAAGAAACCATAGAGTAAATAAATAAATAAAAATAATGAACGTGGCATTAGACGTTTTTCAAAAATTCTATTCAAACTTGTCACTGTCTCGTTTGTTTGTTTGTAAAAGACTATATCGTACAGAAATTTAAATATGAAAAATTGTTAAAAGTTACGAAGAAGAAGGCTAACAAACGAAACAAACAAACTCGTAAATAACTAATAAATAAATTTTTTTTTTTTTTTTGACAATATGTACCGTTAATTTTTTTTTTTTTTTTTTTTTTTTTTCATTTTCTCCAGTTCAGACGACGTTGTGGGCCGTGCGTGCGTGCGTGAGACTTTAAAAAGACAACAAAAATAATAATAATAATAAATAAATAAATAAAAATTCACGTAATTTAACTCTACGATTCCTTAAACAAAAACCTAACCTCTTATCTTCAATATTGGCATGTAAAACATTTTTTGTGACATTTTTATTCCATTCAAACAAACAAAAAAAAAAAAAAAAAAAAAAACATTAAAAAATTTTAGATGAAAGATAACAAACAGACAAACAGACAAACACACAAACACACACACACTGGAAAAGGCAAGTCGTTCCAAGAACACACACGCACGCACGCACACACGCACACAAAAACGAATCAATTATCCAAATGTTGTTTTTATTTCTTAACCTAATAAAATAAACGTTTCGTTCGAGTTTTAAAAACGTGGCAGCAGAAAGGGATGAATAGGGGAGAGGGGGGATGGGATGGGGGGGAGTCCGGTAAACAAAAAAAACCGTTTGCTCTTTTCGATCCGAAAGTAAATATTAAGTAAAAAGTAATTAATACTCCGATGCGAATTAGTAAACCGTCAATCAAGTTAATGTTTAAATCGTGACGTTGTATTTACCTTTTTTTTTTTTTTATTAAAAAAATAAACAATCTGATGATGATGATGATGATGATAAACTAGTTTACAGACAAATTTTCAAAAAAAAAAAAAAAAAGAGGGCCACACCGGGAGAATTATGAACGTTGTTTGTTCGATCCGAATGTAACAAACTACAAACTTTTAAAACGACTGCAAACAAACAAACAAACGAAAAGGATCTGCGAGAAGCCATATTAAAAAATCTCGTTATAAAAAATATCATATACCATCCAAGGAAAAAACAAAACAAAAAAAAAAAAAAAAAAACTACGAATGAATGAAAAAAATTCCCTGCGTGACGGGGGAGAGGGGGAAACGATTTGGAGGGGGGCGACGATGAAATCGAATCGACTGAAAACAACCCAAAAGAAAAAAAATTATTTCCGTTTCCCTCCCCCCCTCCCCCCACACAATCACGCCATCTATTTACTTATTTTCGCGCATTCATAAACGCCATTAAAAAAAAAAAAAAATACACTCAGGGCAGACAACAATAAAAAAAAAAAACCCCTAATAAATTTTCCCCCATCGACCGAGCGACGTTTTTACTTTTTCAAACTCGATTATAAAAAAAAATTATTATCATCATTATTTCGTACCTGAGCCTTAGTTTTTTTTTTTACCCTAAAATGCATCACGCGTGATGATGAAACGTTTCAGGTACGAACGATAATAATCGATTGTTATTAATAAATAAATAAAAGACTCAAACCTATTTTTTTTCTTTTTCGCTTCGGTTGTCTTTCGATACTGAATAAGGTTTTCATTTTTTTTCTTAATAAGCGGGGGGGAGGGCGGGGGTAAAACCCATTAATGAAAATTTAAAAAAAAAAAAAAAGCAAACGATTAACACGTGAACATGCAAAACAAAAACAAAGTGAGCTTATTAATAAATAAATAAATAAAGCAAGCGCCATTTTTAAAATATTGCATCGACGAGTTAATTAATTTCATGCAATGTTACTTCTTGTTATTTATCAAACCTAATTTTTTTTTTTTTTTTCTTCAAGAACGATTAATTAATGAGAAAAATTAGCAAAGTGAAAAATGATTTCATTTACTACTACTACTACTACTACCACTAATACTACTACTACTACTACTACTACCACTACTACTGCAACTACTAAATATCGAAAAAATAAAGTTTATAGTAATTCGATTCGTCGTACGAGCAAAAAAAAAAAATTTTTTTTTTTTTTTTTAGAAATATATATTTATATGTATTTACCTTTGACGCCTTTGGGGTTTTCGTATTTGGTGATATTATTTCCGTAACCTTTGACGAATGCGGTATTCGCGGTGATGAATTGGTATTTCCTTAAAAAAAAAAAAAAAAAACAAATGACGAGAAATGAAAAAAAAAATTAACAATCAATCATTTGAAAATGGTCGTCGTCCTACATGAAGAATCGAATGACGTTTTCATGTCACTCCGTCGACGACAAACAACAAAAAAAGATTCTATCAAAAGAATTCTATCTATCTACTAACCTTGTTGTTGTTGTTGTTGTTGTTGTTGATTACTAACAAAAGCTTGATAAAACTGTGATAAATAAGTTAATATTGAAAGTCGGTCTGGTACTTCGTATTCGACCATATCTTCCGCGTCCAACAGTGCTGGTATCCCCAATTGTCTTTCGGCCGTTCTAAATGCGAGCTCGTTGTTTTTATATATGTCTCGTTTGTCCAACCTGTCGAAATCTCTGCAAAAAAACAAACAATAGCAATAATAATAATAATAATAACGTTTAACAACGTTGGTTAAATGCGATTATTATTAACTTTCTTCAAGAAATTTCTAAATTTTCTAACAAAAAAAAAAAAAAATTTCCCTGATAAATTTCATAATTTCGCTTCAAACTATTTACATTTTTAATTTTTACCAAAAAAAAAAAAATATTATAATTATAATTATTATTATTATTAGCCTTAAACCATTTTCTAAACTCCCCGCCGATTCCTTTGACCGCGTTATTTTTTTCAAAGGAAAATGAATTTCCCCGTTTTCCACACGTACCCCCAACCCCTCACCCCACCCCACCCGAACGTAATAATCTTGTTATTATTCATTTTGTGTTTTATCTGTGTTTTCCCCCCTTATCGTGCACAAGATAGGTACACACGTACGTACGTTCATTCATTCGACGCCATTTTGTTTTTCCCCCGACCTTGCAAATCGAAATAATCAAATTTAATAACATTAAACGGTGTTGTTGATATAAAAAAAAAAAAAAAAAAAAATTAAATCGTCGTCGTCGACTTTCACTTGATGGAAAATGATCACCGGACGTATTTAATAAAAAAAAAACGAGAAAATTGCTTCAAAACCGGACGGTTTTAAATAAAAAAAAAATTGTCTTGTCATGAAACAAAGAAAATAAATCTCTTTTCGATTTGCAAACGTTTGTTGTACGTGTTTGTTGAACGACGACGACGACTATACAAACACACTTGCGTACAACCAATGAGGTCACTTGCATTTCATTTTTTTTTCATTATCGTAATTTAATTTGTTTGTTTGTTTGTTTTAAATTTTCAATTAATTAATGAATTGAGTCTTTTATTTTCTTTTGTGATTGATACCTTCATTATCGATTTTATCGCCGCCATTTTCCGACCGTTAAATTTTTTTTCATTTTCAAACGAAACTTATACGACGAAGGTCAAACACTCATTTTCGAAAACGGAAAAAGGAGACGACGACGACGACGACGACGACTATATTAAGAGATACCCATCGTCGCCGACGTCATTGTCACGTCTTATTTAAACCCTTCGTTATGATGAAAGGACAGAGAGAGAGAGAGAGAGGGGGGGGGAGGAAAAAACCTTTTCTTGTAAAAATCTAAATTCTAACAAAAATGTCCGACCGATAATAAATCTTTTTTTTTCTTTTTTAAACCGCTTTCGAAAGATTTCACATCTTTCCCCCTCTCTCTTCCCCCTTTTTTTGTCTGTTTGAACAAAAAAACATTTTAAGAATAGATTTTGTACAGTCACGATGGAACGACAACAAAATGGTTACCGGAAACGCACATTTTTTGCAAAAACCTTAACAATTCTTATATTCATCGGATGGAAAAAAAAATCAATTTCCGCTTTTTTTTCAATCAAGTCGAAAATGGGGTAAAATACGCCGTTCTAAAATTCAAAAAGAAAAAACCAACACGAAAATTAATCGATCGATAATTAAACGATGTTGATTTTTTTTTTAAATTTTCCGGTCGATAAATTTAACGGATTTTTAATACAATAATCGCGTTCATTTCATTCGTTATTCGTTTTTTTTTTTTCGATATTAAATCGACCAAAAAAAAAAAAAATCAAATAATCATAATTAACGTGTTTAATTTTAATTTTCTTTAATCTCCGTCGAAACAAACCAAACAAAAAAAGGCTTAAGATAAATCTGGGGATCCGAGTTCGGAAAAATTTTCCACCTTTTTAAAAAAATTCAAATAAATTTTCTTTTATCCTACTACTACTACTACTACTACTACCAATCTTCTTTTAATCCCGACGAAAAAAAAAAAGCAAAAATCAAATTAATTTTGACCTCGTCGTGTTTTACCTCTTGTCATCATTATCATTATTATTATTATTATTTTTCTAAAAGTTTTTAAGGTACGATTACGTTAAACCAATGTCGGAAAAGTCTTTTCTCTTTTTTTCGCGACCGTGACTTTGAGACACTTGTTTTCTCTTCGATGTCACGTTTTCATTTTCAATGTGCGACCACTGACTACACTCGAATCCTTCCGTTTCCGGTAATTTTCCCCCTCCTCCCCCCATTTGTACCTTAATATACTTTTCGATATATCGAAAATGATCGATTTTTATAATTTAACCGGACACTCCTCTCAAAGTTCGGTTTTTCCGTAACAACAAGGATTTTTTTTTTTTTATAAAGAAAAATTATTTTTAATAACCGTTTAATAATTTCAAACTATTTCCGCTTTTCCCGGTTTTTTTAACCGGAAATCTAAAAAAAAAAAAGAAAATTTAACTTCTCGCAAAAGATAAACTTGTTTAACCATTGACGGCCATTAATATTAATGATTTTTTATATTACTTATTATTTTATTTTGCTACGATTTAAACAAATTGGTTTTTTTTTTTATTCTCTCTCCCTCTCTCTCCCCCTCACACTCTTTCTTTCTCTCTCTCTCTCTCTTCCCCTCACACACACTCTCTCTCTCTCTCTTCAATTATTATAAAATTAAAAAAAAAAAAAAATTAACAATAATTTTACGTAATCGTTTTCATTCGATCTCTCGATTCATTTTACTTTTTTAATTTTTTCGACTATTCATCAAACCGAAAGTGAAAGAAAACGATGGAAAATTATTATTTAAAAAAAAAAAACCGAATCTTATTATTATTATTATTATCATCATTAACGTTTTCATTTAAAATTAATTAATTAGAAAATAATTGAAAACGCACGTTCGAAATAAAAATTTTTTTTCTTTTTTTTTTTTCTCATACGATTTTCGTTGCGTTTAAAGCGTTTCCTTTTCTCTCTCTTTCTCTCTCCTCCCTCCCCCCCCAACTCTCTCTCTCAAACGCTTTCGTATGGATACCCCATGATAATAATTTTCAAGTAGTTTTATGCCAAAAAAAAAAAAAAAAAAAAAGTGATACGAAATATGATGATTCTTCTTGTAATGGTAATTACCATCAATCACAGCGGCTTTCTTTTAACCCGGTCGCGGTCGGTCGGTCGGTCGGTCAAAAGAAGATTAGCAACTTTTTTTAAAAATATTTCGACTAACTCTTTTTATTATTATTATTATTATTTACATTTAAAATTAACGATGATTTATTTAATTTAATGAAAAAAAAAAAAAAAAAAAAGTTTTGTAAAAAATATTTTCGAATTGAACCGCAAAAAGCGACGACTTTCTCACCACATTTTCCATTTGAATTTTCACACACATGCATAACCGTACGTTTGTTACGTCATTTCTCATTGCGTACAATCAAGGTTTGTTGTCGTTGTGCATTTGTCATCACAACTACTTTCTTCCAATAAACAATAATAATAATAATAATAATGATGATGATGAACGTTTGTTGGTAAAACGATTACGATGTCGAGACCTTTTTAAAGTTTGAAATATCTCTTCGTTTCGTATACCCCCGAGTGTAAATTTTTTTTTTAAAAAAAAAAAAAAAAAAAAAAGCCGTGAAATTCGACAAAAAAAACTTATCAGACTGTAAAAGGTAATTATCGCGTAAAACAACAGACGATATCCTCAGCTAGTTACCCCTCCCCCCCTCGAATGGCACCGCCATTTTATATCCGCAAAAACGGTTACACGATTTTTCCATTCGTTTTTCCCATCATAATTTTATTTTAACAAAGTCATTAAAGATTTCTATATATATTTTAACTGTTTTAGAAAAAAAAGAAAATCATGGTCAAACGATCGTTTCCTACATTCACTCACTCATTCTCTCACTCACTCATTCAATCATTCACTCACTCACTCATTCATTCATGTGTTCGTTAAGAGAAAAATGGTTTGGAAAAAACCAAACCGAATACAAAATTTCAAATGGAGAAAATTTATTACATTTTCGTAAAAAAAAAAAAATAAAAAATTTTCAACTTTTTCTTTTTCGCCACAGAATTTAACCAAAAACAAAACAACGACAACAACAACAACGACAAACAACAACGAAAACAAAGAAACTTGAATCCTTTCTTTTCATTGTTTTATTACATTAACAAATATTAAACGGTTAGTCGATAACAACAACAACAACAACAACAACAAACGCTTTTTTTTTTAAAGGAAATGCCACCACGAAACACTCTTTCTCTTCTACACAAACCAATTGACCCGCAAAACACTTTTGCGGTTTTTTTATATTATTTCAAATCAATGTCAAAGTTAAAAAAAAAAAGAAAAAGAAAACCTGATTTCTAATAAATATTAATAATAATAGTCGAACGATCGATCGTAAGAGCAGAAGACAACAACAACAACAACCGTACCACGGAGCAGACGACGACAATCATCGTATATTAGATTCGGTATTTAAATGTAATTCAATCTCAATTACGTGAAATTTATAGAATTGAAATTTTTTTTTTTTTGAATTTAATTGCGCTTAACTCATGCATTTGGAAAAGTAACACCAACGAATCCACGTTCGCACGCATTCAACTTTTTTTTTTTTACACGGATAATTAAATGAATTATTATTATTATTATTTTTTACTACTCGTCGGATGATGATCAAAATAAATGAAATTAAATTTTCTTTTTTTTTTTTTTTTTTACCTGGCGCGTTTTTCAAATAAGTGAAATATATATGTAAAAAATAATAAAAGAAAAAAAGAAAGAAATTGATTTCACTTTTATTAAATCATTTAGTGTTAACATCATTTTCTCTCTCTCTCTCTCTTTTATTTAATGGCAAAAGAAAAATTTAATCGTCGAATCGGAAAAAATTTAACAAATTAAATTTTTTTAGAAAATAATAATAATAATAATAATAATAGTGATAATAATTGGAAATTTCAACGTTTTCTCTCAATTCCCTCCTCCCTCTACATCCCCACGTTTATAAGGTTTTTCTTTTTTTTCACATCGACCGGAAACGAAGGTATTTAAATAATCTTGTGCCACGACTGGATACTACTTAATTCAAATAAGCAATATTAAATTATATTTGAAACGATTCGAACGTTAAGGAAAATAGCATACGTTAAATTTTTTAGGAGTTCGATTCAGGTACTGTGACAATTAACGAACGTAACTCGGTAGGTAGGTACGCACCCATGAGAAAAACAACAGAACAAAAAACGCAAAGTAAAAGAGGGAAAAATAGGGGGGCCACGCACGTGAAAATTCGTTCGTACACAAAATGATTTTCATCGATCGATCCTAACCATTTCATCAAACCTGAATTTATTTATGAATTTAAAAAAAAAAAAAAAGTTTTCCGGCGTAGCTGAGAGCTATGAAAGTATTCATTATAATTATTTATGTGCTTTACTTTTTCTTCCTATTTTACATTCAGGTTGTTGTTGTTGTTGTTGTTGTCGTCGTCATGTTTTTTTCCTTTGATGTAACTTTAACAAAAAAAAAAAACGCGAATAATGAGTTTTCACTCAAAAAGTTTAGAAACTCAACAACTTGATTCTTTCCTACGTATAAAACGTATTTCCTTGAGAGAGAGAAAACATAATAGTAATATCGTTCGGACCGAATAATTCGCACGGAGAGCAAACGTTAACGTTTCACTCTTACATAAACAAACAAACAAACAAACAACAAACAAAAGGTGTAAAAACAAGAACAACCTGAATATAGAGGGAAAATATTTTTTTTTTAAAAAACATTCATAAACTTACATTAAATCCGGGCGAAAGTGGTGTATAAGTGCGCAAAATGCCAATCCATCTCTCCAACTCGTTGTCATATTTTCTATTTTAACACCTGGATATCCTTCTGTAACTCGTCGACACCACAATTCCAACGCTTTCATTCCTCTTTTTTCCGCCATTTTTTATTTCAAATCTAAAATAAATAAAACGATGATAATAATAATTAATTACTATCTTATCGAATGCGAATGCAAAAAAAAAGAAAATTGTTTCAAATTAAAAATTAACATTTATTATTTAAACCGACAAATTTTCAAATGATACGTCTCGACAGACCTTAAATTGATGTTAATTATTAACAAAACGTTTAAAATGAGAAAAGAAAATAAAATAAAATGGAGTCACAGTTATCGTGAACCTGATAATAATAATAAAAAAAAAAAAAAAAAAAAAAAAAGGCAAAATGGAAAAAAGCTTAAAAGAAAAAGTAAATTTCGAAACGATAGCATATGCTAACCGTTTTCAATTATTATCAAGGGTCAAATTAAAATTAATCCATGTTTTTACGCTTCCGGCATAAAGGTAGCAGTAGTAGCAGTAGTAGTAGTAACTTCTTATCTAGGCATGCGAAATTCTCTTACCAAATAATAATAATAAAACCACGTTAAAAAAGGAAAGAAAAAGAAAGAAAACTTTCCAATTATTATGATTTTAAACGCGCGTAACAAGTTCTCTCTCTCTCTCTTTCTCTGAGATTCATATATGTACAATCACGCACGCGTACACACACGCAAATGAATACCAAGGAGTAAAAAAAAAGTTAATAATAATAATGATTATCGAATTGATAAAATAAAGAATCCCGAGTAATTGATAATGTATTTTGAAACTACGACGCGTTTTCCATTTTCGCAAAAATCTAATGTAAAAAAAAAAAAAACGCACGCACCGATCGGATAGTTTAGAGTCGTTAATTAATATTATTTAAACAAAAAAAAAAAATAATAATAATAATGATAATAATAATAATAATAAAAATAACTGTAAAGGTGTTCGGGCATTGAATTTATTATTTTCAAAGGAAGTGAAATTTCACGTTACCAAAATGAAAAAAAAAAAAAAAATAATAATAATAATAATAACAACAACAACAACAAAAATAATAATGATGATAATAATGATAATAATTTACCGAAATTTCTAGAATCACGGTTTAGTTTTCACACATCGGTTGGTCTTTTTAAAAAAAAAAACATTGGACACGAACGAACTGAGGCTGCCTCTCATAATAAACTATTATTAATAATAATTTTTCTTTTTTTTCTTTTTTTTTTTTATTATTAATTTTGATTCGTCATCGTTTAATGTGTTATCATTTCTTTTTATTTTATCCCAAGGTTTTCGTTCGAAATAAAATAAGAAAATTATTAATAATAATAATAATAATAATAATAATAATAATAATAATAAAAGCTACGGCTTAATCCTCTCTTTTATTTATTTTTAAAAAAAACAATAAAAAAATTGACAAAAAAAATCCCGATTCGAATCAATTCCCTGCCGCCGAATCGAATGATTTTCCACATCGTAAATAAAAATCCCGATGATGAAAATACCGAAATTTAAAAAAAGACAAAAAAAAAAAAAAAATCAAACGTCATACGTGCAAAACAAATATTAAACGATGGGGGGGGGGGAAATTTTCTCTCCCGTCGTAAAATTTGTCATCGAAATAAATTTACAAATTAATTAATTACCCGGCGAATTAAAACTACCATCAAACAAAATGGCGACGAAACGACTAATTTTTTTTTTCGTACGAAATTCAATTAAATGGTACAAAAATAATTTTTCATTTAGACGCAATAACGAAGAAATAAATGCAAATAAATAATCAAATATTTTCAAAAAATAGTTTTTTCCCTAAAAAAAAAAAAAAATACACGCGCACACTCACGCACGTTCAAGTACATCATTAACACATATTCGTTCGTTAGCATCACCGCTATTTTTGTGTACAGGTGCGTGCGTATGTGCGTGTGTGCGTACCCACAAATGACTCGCACACCGCCGCCCTTGAAATATATATATATATATATATATATATATAGAAAAAAAAATATTAATTAGAATTGCTTAAGAATAAATTATTACACCTAAAAAAAAAAAAACCTGCCAACGTGACCACCACCTGTTTTAAAAGGCGACCTAGGTTTGTTTGTTGGTGTGTTCGTTTGTTGTTCTCAGGTTGATCTTCGAAAAGATTTTATTCGAAAGAAAAAAAAAATTTTAAAAAATTAAAATAAAATAAATGAATTAATGTTTGTGTGTGTGTGTGCGTTTGATATATTTAAACATGTTGCTTTCGAATTCTCATTTACAGTTATTGATCATTAATAACGTAACTAAAAATTAATAAACAATCAATTAACGGTCTCACTCTCTCTCTTTCTCTCTCTCTCTCTTTTCATTTTCATTCTCCATTTAAAATTTTGATATCATTTTATAAAGAAAAAAAAAAATTAATTAAAATCCCATTTGGTTGTTATTTCTTTTCTCACTCGAGAAACAAACAAACAAACAAACAAATAAAAAAAAAATTGTTGCATCATAAAAGTAATGGGACCAGAATATTATTTCGCAATAAAATTACATATATGCCCTTTTTTTCTTACTTGAAATTCGCACTTTCCATTTATTTATCGACTAATATTTTATTGTACGTTATGACCTTACTTATTAAATAATGTCCGAGAATAGACTTTTATAATTTTTTTTCCCTTTTTTTTTTTTTTTTTTTTTTTTCTCGACGAAAATGACACTCGGTCGTACAGGTAATTTAATTTATTTACGCGTTTGTGTGTGTGCGCGCGCGCCTACATTACCCCGTTGCATAACATCCGCTAATGAATATCCGGAAAAAATTTTCCTTCATTAATAAACACAAAGGAATTGTTTGTTATTTGAAATCTTTAGCGTATCCGGTCGTAGCAAAAAGGGTAAGAAAAAAAATTCATTTCAAGGCTTTTTTTTTTTTTTGTGTTTCCGGTGGTCACATTTTTTGGTCAAGGTTGTCATCAAACTTTGAACGATTCTCGGTAATTTCACATTTTCCACACCTCTCGGCATGAGAAATCTCTCTCCACCCCCCCTCTCTCTCTCACTCTCTCTCTCTATCTCCTTGAACAAAACGCAAATTGTTTGTCTATTTTTTTTCTTTTACAAATTGCAGCATTAGACATCTGTCAAACTTCCTGGCAAATTACTCTCTCTCTCTCTCTCTCTCTCTGGCATTCACGGTAAATCATCCGTTTCTTTATCCGCTACTTTGGTCATTCACATGAAAGATCATTCCTTCTCGACTAATTAATGATGCATTTTTCCCTCCCCTTCCCCCCGCTTACCGCGAAGATCCATCGCTTATTTATTTGTACGAGAGTACAGTTATAAAAAGCTTTGGGAAATATAAACGAGTTTTTTTTTTTTTTTTCATTTTTCTTTTTTTTTTTTTTTTTTCAATTTAATGAATCTTTTAAGCTTTTTTAGAAAAATGCGTAGGAGTTTAAATTAAAATTAAAAAAAAGAAAAAAAAAGAAAAAAAATTTTCCATGCCCATCACGTCGCCAACGCTAATTAAATACTTTTCCAAAAAAAAAAAAAAAACAACTATTTTAAACGCCCGCAATATTAAATCACGATATTATTATTATTATTATTATTATTATTATTATTATTATTATTATTATTATTATTATTTCATCGAGGTATTTACGAAAAAAAAAAAAACAAAAAAACAAAGAATTTCAACAAGAAAAAAAAATTTTATATATATAAAAGTCACAGATTTATCCAAAAAAAAAAAAAAAAAAAAAATTGATATTATGCAATTTAAGGAAATTGTACCACAAATGAGCCCCCCGAGCCTTAATTTGAACCTTAATCAGAATCGTTATGTAAAATGTAATAAAGATATAAAAAATAAAAACGTTAAATTTTTTTTTTTTTTTTTCTATTTAAACGTTCAAAGAAAATTTACACCGGAAAACCTTTTTTCTCTCTCTCTCTCTCTCCCTCTTTCTCTCTCTCTAATAAAGTATAATATATCGAAAAACGATTCCCGAGTTTTAAAAAAAAAAGAAAAGGAAACTATATATTACCTAATCATTCATTTAAAAAACGAACGGAAGGAAACCTAAACACTTTCTCATTTTTTTTTTTTAACCACCGGTAAATGCACCCGGTCAAACTACGTGAAAAATCTGACATTAACCTCCTCATCGCCTACCAGTCTCACAAAGGAGAAGAAGAAGAAGAAGAAGGAAGGAAAAAAAAGATAGAAAGAAAGAAAGATAGAAAAAACGAAAACGTATAAAACGAGGTAAAAAAAAATAAAATGATAGTTTCCTCCTCCTCCTCCTCCTCCTCCTTCATCTTTTGTTTCGGAATTATATTCCGTATTGGTCTTTCTATCATCTTCCTTGGTGGTCTGCCTAGTTGAAAGTTTTTTTTTTTATTTCTTGGGTGGAATCGTGTCGAATCATGTCGAACATCCCCAAACGTGAGCCTGACGAAGCCTTTACAACCCGATGTCAGTCAGTCAGTCAGTCTGTTATTTTTATTTTACCTTTTTTTCTTTTTTCTTAATTGGAATCATCAAAGGAAAAAAGGAATAAAAAAAAGGCGCGACATCGATTCAATTTGAAAATAAATAAATAAATAATGAAAATAATGATGATGAATGCGATTCGATTTGGTTCATTTCCAATAAAAATATATATATATATATATATATATATATATATATATATATATATATATATATATATAAAGCAATTAGTTTTACTATTCACAAACAATAAATAAATAAATATACCGAGAAATGGAATGAGTAAGCATTAAAATTTTCCTTTCTCTACCTCCTCCTCCTCGTTAATTAGTTTCTTCTCGAACAACAAGTTAAAAAAAGAGAGAGAGAGAGAGAGATG